CCCCAAAACCCCAAAACCCCAAAACCCCAAAACCCCAAAACCCCATTTTTTCAAAGAAAAATTGAAAAAACGGCCAGTGCTTTTCTTCGTAACGTAAAGAGAACCCAGTCTGAGTGGGTTTAGGACTGGGTTTTAGGCTGAGACGGTCAAAGGGCGGAGATGTACTTTACAGGATCAGTTTGGAGTCTATAATAACGAACAAGGCTTACTTTGCCAAATGTTCAGGCTGTGAAAACAGCTCATACCGAATTTCCTTCACAAATCTTCTCTCAAATCCATTGAACCTCTTGAGCGTATATAAACCTGTAATCTGCACAAAGTCTTTATTCTTGTACCTATAACAACAAATCAGATTTATTCAGACTCAATTAGGAACACTTTCAGATTTCAAATGTACTGAAATCAACCAAAAGTGCAAAATTAGGTGAAATTTTAGAATTACCAAGTATCATATAAAAACTTTGCTGAGAGATTAAGTGAGGTGAGAACCAAGGGTTTCCAGTTTTTAGCAGTTAAATAGACTTCTCCTAGTCTCTACACTGTTAGAACCAATATCTACCACTATTTTTATGAGATAGTATAACATTTGAACAAGGATTTGATCCTCAATCCGCATTTTGGTATAGAGTTGGTGAAGGAATTTATTGATTTCTTTAAGACTTAGGTTAATCTTTTCATCTTTCTTAGCCCTCAATTGATAGATGCAATGAGGGGGAGAGATTGTCTGCACCCGAATCTTCTCCATTTCAAAATTTTTATGTTTAAAAATGGGATCATTGAACATCTTGCTCGCTTTTTGTGAGGAAACCGATTTCTATTTTGACTTTAGTTAACTCAAATGGGAGTGAATTAATAAAATCATTCGCTTACCTTTGTCTTTGTCGAGATGAATATCATATAAAATATAGCCTCCCCAATTACTTCGAGTCTGGGTCCTGAATCATTTAAACTGAATCAAAGTGCAGAAGGGATGGCACTAATTGAATGATGTCTAGTTGAAATTCGATTTCCTTGACCTGAAGATGTCTTCATAAATCATATCTCCCCTTTCGAACTTATAAGATCTTTGCCAAATTTATGATTCTTTGTAAGAGTACAAAAGAAAGGGTCATTAATGTACTCTGTCTCTACTCATTCTGAATCTGTATTTTCAACAACAAGTTCAGTCTTTGACTCAGATTTTTGACAAACCTTTGGAGATTCACGCAGGAACCTATATTAATGTAATTTGAGCAACTAATAAGTTTAGATTTTAGAAAATGTTACTTATCAAATTCTAAATCTCAGTTTTTGTTTCTTTGAAGATAAGTTTTAAGTAAACATTCTTTAATTTTATAGAAAAATTAGGACATTAAAACTTAAATTTTTAACATTGAAGCAGAACACATCAGGATCAATTATTATTCTTCAATTTAACACTCCTCAGTCACTTCTCTAAATATATATCCTTATCTTTCGACATTTAAAAGGAAACTCTCACTGGAATAAAATTCTCAAATTTTTTAATTACTATTTAACCGCTAATTCTCATGAAACCAACTAATAATATCTCTAAAATACAAAAACCAAAGTCAATTCATAAAAAGTTTCAGTCGAAATGGAAAGATGCTCTTAACTACCTCCAGGCCATGTGCCATCTGAATAAAGTTTTTTCTTAAATGAAGTAGACTCTTCTCCTCCATTTTAGCACAACATAAGATTTGCAGAGCCAAAAGCTCCCTTTCGCCTTTCAGATTCCATATAGGGAGCTCTCTGAAGCACAAAAATGCATGGTCTCATGTGCTCTCTGTTGAAGTAAAAACCATCAAAGAGCAAGGCTTTACTAGGTGTTGCAACCTTTTAGATTTTAATCCCATTTAGAGGGAAAACGACTAGTTTAGATATTCTTTGCGGAAAATTCGAAGCGAGACCTTAAGAATATGAGACATGGACAATTATTTAGCAAAACATCATCCGAACTAATAATTTTAAAGTTGATATTAGATGGTGTCTTGGTCGGCTTCACTAAATTCCTGTTTCAAAACAGATTGCGAGATTTTATCAAAGATATTAAATTTGCAAGAATTTATTTATGCTCATTGAAAGACTGTTGAGATGTTAGCAACATGAAGTTTAACAGATTTTCGGCTATCGATATTGCATATCTAGCATCAGAGAGTGCAAATTTGCATGAAAGAAACCTACTAGTTGCCAGATATGCATTCTGATATTAGTTCAGGAGTTAGTTGATCACTTTCCGGGAGAACCTTTTCTGACAGATCCCTTAACTCATGAGAATCCGAATCCTCGGTAAATTAAGGATTAGCTTCAACTAAAATTCTCAAGAACTCTCCAACTTTGACTTTTGAGATTTACCCATTATCTCCGGTAGAAGGAGTACTCACCTTTGATCAAGTAGAAACTGATGGCTCTGACAAATATCCAAGTGATATGAAGGATTGTACAGCATTAAGGAATGCTGATCCATCTGCTCATAAATATCTTCATTGATAAGTGATTGTTCTATAAGTGTATTAGGATTAGGTAACCAAACTTTTAAAGACTAAAATAACATACTAGCACCCATTTGTAGATCTTTTTGTATTATATTGTTCAATATAAATTTTGTGATTTGGGGTTTTGGGGTTTTGGGGTTTTGGGGTTTTGGGG